AATAGAAAGTGAATCTGGACTGTTCATTACGATTTGATTTGGACCATCTAATCGCGTTTAAATAGGAATTGGATCTGGACCGTTCATCGCGATTTGATCTTTGCGTTTAAAGAAGAAACAGATCCGGACCGTCCGTGCGCGCAAGAACAAATCTAGACTGTTCTATCCTAGGCATGCGGATCGCCCACGTGGCACCACGTCAGTGTGCCTTGTCACGTGGCGTGCTCCGGTTTGTCGGGGTTGCTAACTGGGCGTCCTACGTGGCATAATTTTCTTAAATTGTATTTTGACTCCTAGTTTCCAATTTTTCTTTCAAAAACACCCCCAGAATCCAAATTTTCACTTATTTTTCCCAAATTATTTTCAATTTCATCCTTCACTTATTTTTCTTCATTTTTACATTAAATAAAAAATTTAAAAATTAAAAAAATTATATTTATACATTAATTTTAATTATATTAAAATTAATTAAGGGTATTACAACTCTCTCCCTGAAGTCTGATTCTAGCTCCTATGTGGTCTCTCCCGGTGTATGATTTTGCCATAAGATCTTAACGAATGAAATTTTCTAGTTGCAGAGTACTTTACTCTTTCGGTCCACAATGCCGACCTGTACTTACTCGTATGACAAATCCTCCTAGAACAAAATGAGTTCGTAGGTCAGGACGTGAGAGGGGTCCGGGTTGTACTTGCGTAGCACAAACACATAGAATACATTATGGACCCTGTATAGTTCTGGAGTCAGTGCCAGTCTATAGGTGGGGGTGCCAATTCTATCTAAGATTTCAAATGGCCCAATGAACTGGGGATTTAGTTTCCCCCTCTTGCAAAACCTACTGATCCTTTGAAATGAGTGACCTTAAAGAACACCTGATCATCTTTCTCAAATTCCAAATCCCTCCTCCGGGTATCCGCATAACTCTTCTACCTGCTTTGGACTGTCTGAATGTTCTTCCTAATCTTAACTATTTTGGCTGTAATCTCCTCTATAAGATCTGGACCGAACAACTTTCTATCATCCACTTTTTCCCAACAGATCGGTGATCTATATGGACGGCCATACAATGCCCCGTACTGAGTCATGCCAATACTTGCTTGGTAGCTGTTATTGCAGGGGAACTCTATTATGGGTAAATGATCATCCCAATGGCTCCTAAAGTCAAGAACACAAGCTCGGAGCATATCCTTCAGTGTGCGGATCGTCCTTTCTGATTGTCCATCGGTCTAAGGGCGGAATGCAATAATAAAGGACAGTTTCGTTCCCATGACTTGCTAAAAACTATACCAGAACTAAGACATGAACCTGGGGTCCTTGTCGGACACTACTGTCACTGGCACTCCATGTAACTTGACTATCTCCCGTATATACATTCTTATTACCTTGTCCAAGGCGATCAGTCATCCTGATGGCTAAGAAGTGGGAAGACTTGGTGAGCCGGTCAACAATTACTCAAATGATATCATGTCCCGAGCCTGCCCTAGACAATCTTGTCACGAAATCCACTATGATATGTTCTCACTTCCACTTTAAAATTGGTAATAGCTGAAGTAGCCCGCCTGGGCATTGATGTTCTGCCTTGGCTTGTTGACATGTCAAACAGTTGAAAATAAAGTCGGCTACATCTCTTTTCATCCCATTCCACCAAAATTGAGGTCGTATACTTTGATACATCTTAGTGCTTCCAGGATGCATGGCAAACTTTGAACTATGGGCCTCTGTCATGATGTCCCTTTTCAACTCACTGTCACTTAGAACACGTCCCCATAACCCGTCCGGTATGAGGCAACGTTCACAGTAGGATTCCTTATATACCCAGTCCGTCTACCATCTTTCAGGATATCCAGTGAGGCTACCGTTCATCTATTTACTTAATTAAATAATTTTTCCGTTTATCTTTAATTTTAAGTTTTTCAATTTAACTGTAATTACATAAAACAAGCAATACATGCAACAAGAAAGCACAATCGCATCATTATACCAATTTCAGTGTATTATCATGCATTCAAAATCATAAAATCAATAAATCAGCTAAACCTGACTGTAACGGCCCCGAAAATTCAAAAGAAAATATATATAATAATCTGAGTGCGGGAGCGAATTAAAAGATTAAGGTTAACATCCCTTACACAATAACTTAAAAGTACTAAATAATATCACTGAATAAGTTCTCTAAAAAAAATACGAGAAATGAGAAAAATAAAGGAAACTATTAAACATCTAGTATCTACTCGCCGTATTCTTGTGGATCAAGCTCGGGAACCAGGTCTTCTTGATATGAAATGGTTAAATGAGGAATGAGCTACGCTAGCTCAGTAAAGACGTCACACTATATCACTGTCACAGAAGTAAAAGTTGGTAGAAAATCGGAAACAACCAATGGAGCACAAATTTTAAACAATCTATAAAGACAATAACATTACACAGATCATAATTTCATGTATAATCAGTAACATAAAACATATCATAAATCCGTATTTATTAACAATAACTGATTATCACCGTTTTTCATTTTCACCAGCCTACTAGTATCCATGGAGATCCATAGGGGTGTCTCCGCTACACGTGAACCATTCTTCTTAACAGTCTTAATTCCAGGGCCGTCCCCATACCCCGTCCGGTATGAGCGACAAATGACCAAGTCTTCATACCCCATCCGATATGAAACGACGTTCACGGTAGGGTT